CCTCCCCCCTTCCGACTCTCCGAGGTCCTCTCGAGTCTTCAAGCTTTGTCATCTTTCGAGTACCTATGGCTTCTCTGGTACTGCGCGACCGCTCAAGAGGATTTTCTTCACCAATTGGATTGAAAATGCCTGTCTAGGGGAGAATATAGACTGAGAGGAACCAATTGGACCCCCCTAGCTAAGATTTTCGGTTTTTATCGCATTATCTCGGCACAGCCTTATCAACAAAAAATCAGGTAGCTCGACAGTGGTTTATTTCTCCGCAACACATCGCGGAAGCAAAGATGGACCGAAATGTTCGTTCGTAAAATGCGGAGAGACGGTCACGTGGGATGACGCTGGGGTCGGCTATCGTCGGCGTTCGGGGTTCAGAATGCGGAGGAAGGAGAGCAATAATAATGGACTACCACCATCATTCCACAATGAAATGTTGCGCTCTCCCCTCTCGAAAAGCATCCTTTCCTCCTCCATAACCGTGGGTTGACTTCGGCCTGACAATGAGCATTCTACGCTGCAATGGAGGCCTCTCCCGGGCTCTCCGTTCTTGCCAATCTCACAGAGTCCTGCCGATAACTCGCTCCCCATCAACAATATCCTTACCCCGTCGCACATTCCATGCTGCTCCGGCTCTGTGGGGGGTCAAGTCTCAGATCTTGAAGGATGTTGGCGAAGGTACATCAAATCACCCTATAACCTGCGTTATACGCATATATCATATGCTTACTCACCCTACTTGCGCTCCGCAGGGATCACGGAAGTTCAAATCATTCAATGGTACGTCGAGGAAGGCGCCCATATAGAGGAGTGGAAACCTCTCTGTCAATATCAATCGGATAAAGCAGTGGATGATGTTAGTCGCTTTCGTACCAATGACCAGCACATGGAGACCTAACAATATCAGATTACCTCGAGGTACGGAGGCATTGTTAAGAAGCTTCACTTCCAAGCAGATGACACTGTCCCCACAGGAAAGGTACGTAATACTGCATTCACGTCTATGTCTTGAGAATATGACCGCTGAGAGAATTCCACTGTAGGCTCTGTGCGATATAGAGGTTGAGGATGGAAAATATCCAGATGATAACCCACCACCTGAGCCCACACCAGCAGCCGCACAACCCAGCTCTGCTCCTGCACAGGCTGAGGCAAAACAACCTTCAGTAGAAGTGGCTGCTACTACTCAAAAGCCAGAAACCCCGAAGAATGTTTCACGCTATGCCACTCTTGCCACCCCGGCCGTCCGTGGGATGCTGAAGACCCATAATGTGAATATTCTAGATGTTCTAGGGACAGGGAAAGACGGACGCGTCCTCAAAGAAGACGTCCTTCGATTTGTGGCGGCGCGGGACTCGGCACCTGCGTCGCAACCTACAACCCCTACAGCCCCTGTGTCACAACAAACAGACACAGCGGTCAACCTAACACCAATCCAGTCACAAATGTTTAAGACCATGACACGGTCGCTCAACATCCCCCACTTCCTATTTGCAGATGAGCTAAACATCAACAATATCACTGCTCTGAGAAAGAAACTGGCCAATGATCCGAAGGACCCCAGGAGAATTACCTTCCTCTCCTTCGTCATCAAAGCCGTCTCTCTAGCCCTAAATGAATATCCAATCTTGAACGCCAAGGTTGACACAAGCAATCCCGACAAGCCCCAACTCATCATGCGGCCCAGACACAACATTGGTGTTGCAATGGATACACCGCAAGGCTTGATCGTGCCGAATGTCAAAGATGTTGCCAACCGGTCAATTGAAGACGTTGCAGCAGAAATCTCCCGCCTAAGCGCCTTAGGTAAAGAAGGGAAGCTCACTCCAGCAGACCTGAGTGGCGGGACAATCACCGTCTCAAACATAGGAAATATTGGGGGTACTTACGTCGCACCAGTGATTGTGTCCAACGAAGTGGCTATCCTGGGTGTTGGAAAATCCAAGACGGTACCAATCTTCGATGAGGCGGGTCAGGTTACCAAGGGTGAATTGGTAAATTTCAGCTGGAGTGCAGATCACCGAGTCGTGGATGGCGCGACTATGGCTCGGATGGCCAATAAAGTCCGGGAATGTATTGAAGCCCCGGAGTTGATGCTTCTAAAGCTACGGTAGTTCATGTATATAGATAGAAGTTCTCATTCAAACCGTTAAAATCAATGAGGGTTTATGTGACCTGACACACTATCACCACCTGCCATACATTGTCGGAAGTGTAAATCATGGTGTCTATGGATGATGCCTTCATCATTACCGTTAGACAGGAACTAACTTTGGTCCTTCCCTTTGCAATCTTGACGTAAAAGGCAACCATAAAGATGAAGTTTCCCCCTTCTTTTCTTCTTCCATTTCCTCGTTTTCCATAGTGCGGGGTGCCCTCAACCCGGCTATATGCCGGGACTTGGAGTAGGGGATCATGCCCTTAAATCTTCGATCTGTTCACGAATAGATGCAAGAAATTTTTGGAAACAAAAATCCTCAATTCTTCAATGGTCCGCTCAACAGCGAGCGAGATTCCCTCGGGGAAAAGTTATTGTTCTCTTTGCTGGTGCATTGTACCCTTACTAGTAGTGCTCACTCGCTGGTCCTTCGCTTTTTATGTGAGCCACTTACTGTAGGGTACCTGATCATGTCTTCGCTTGTTAGAATTACCTTGAACGAACGAAACACCCTTTGGTGAGTTTCTTTGTGTGTCCCCATCACAAGAAATATATATAGTGATTTACTAACTGGTTATCTCGTCCAACAGTAAGAATGCATGAATTCATACATTTCAACAAGTAGAGGAGTGGTTCAACATGCTATGTATGTACGTGCTAGAGTAGCTTTGGTTCACCAAAAGATATGTATCCGGAACCTCGGAGGAGAAGCTTTTTAGAATTCATTAAAGATCGATTTAAGCTCTGCTATAGTGAAGTTTTTGATCCAACCGAGCTTATTTGCTATGGTTTAATACAAGATGCCGATTCTATAATAATTGAACAACTAGTTGTTGGACTTGAAGCACTGTGGAGCTCAAATTAGGGTTATGTATATATGTCCATATCGAATTTGGGCACAAGTTCAACCTTCAACCTTGTTAGGTAGCGCCTGTATGTTGCTTAATCCATCCGTCGTAGTCTAGATCTATTAAGGTGCTCTGGATGCACCGATCTGATCCCGGACAGATGAAGAGTAAGCTGTAGATCACCCAATATACTCTGTAGTACATGGCGGACACCCTCCCTACCAGCGATGGCCAGTCCGTACACGTAGGGTCGACCGATAAGGACCATTTTGGCCCCTAGCGCCAGAGCTTTAGCTACATCAGCGCCGCAGCGCACGCCAGAATCAAAGATGACTTCTAGATCTTTCCCCACCGCGTCGACAATGTCTGGCAGCATGTCTAAAGATCCCACTCCCCCATCCTGCTGGCGTCCGCCATGGTTGGATACTACTATTCCCTGCATGCCGTACTGGACTGCCAGCTTTGCATCCTCAACCGTTTGTATACCCTTCAGTACAATTGGGCCATCCCAATGCTGACGGAGGAACTGGAGATCTTCCCACCCATGGCTTAGCCCAGGGAATATCATATGAGCCCATTCTGCCGCTGCAGTCGCCATGTCTTCTTCGACGCTTTTGCCGTGCTTTTCCGCAAACTTCTTCCGAAACACAGGATCGGAGAAGCCAATCTCGACCCCAATATTGTCTTTCCGGAGGAATGGATTATACCCATTTTCTAAGTCCGAGGGGCGCCATCCAAGGATGTAGGTGTCGAGTGTGACCACCAAGACTTTGTAGTTGGCATCTTTGGCGCGTTTCAACAAGCTGGCTGTAATGTCGTTGTGCTCATTTGACGGCCAGTATAACTGAAACCACCGGGACCCATGCCCATTGGCTTCGGCGACGTCCTCAATACTGGTCGAAGATGCAGAACTCAGGATGTACGTTATCCCTTCATTCTGTGCAGTGGAAGCAACAGCAACCTCACCATCGCGGTGGAAAATTCGTTGTACTCCTACTGGTGCGATTGCGATCGGGTACTCGTAATCCTCACCGAACAGCGTCGTTTTCAAACTTGGAAAGTCCGCTTTAACCAGACGGGATGGAACGATGCCCCATTTCTTGAATGCCTTCCGGTTGTTATCATCTGTTTCTCTGGCCCCAGCAGAACCCCAGACGTAGCCGAAGCTATCTGCTGAGAGGCGCTCTTTAGCCAGTCCCTCCCATTTGAAAGGATCAAAAGTGATAGCGGGCTTTTTGTCATTGAGCCCCTCAGTATATACTTTCGTCTCGTAGGTGTATGGCAATGGATTGTGCTGGGCTGACGACATCGTTGCGAAGTGTAGTTGACTCCTCCCCCTTTGGCTCTTTTGTGTTTTCCGGTCTGATGTATAAAACTAATATGCTGTGTGTATAGATCTCTCTAACTTGAAGCAAATGCTCTCGCACCCATTTATAGTTGAGCAACTTAGGGCATGTCTTGGTACAAGACCGGCTTCCATGACAATCGACCCGGTCAGCCGGCTACGTTCAGCAGAGATTGTTCATCGATCAAGGCCGATCGGGCCGGTCGAACACTGCACGATTGACGTAAGTCAGTACCACAGTCGCGAACTATGTCATATTAAGACCCGCTTGGTGGGTTCAGGGTTCAGCTTAGCTGCCGTAAGGGACCGAGATCTCTTTTCGGCCGATAGAATAAACTACTAGCGATGCCGTGTTCGAAGAAGCTTGTCTCTCACGCATTAACCAATAACATCAAGGTCAAAATGGAGATGCTCTGATTTTATCATACGACCTCGGACAGAAGTCCAATTGGATATGAACATGCATACTATTGGCGTTGCACTCAGTTGCCCTTATGTGGCATGACGTCAACGAGCTTGCGTACCATTTATTTCGGGGAGAACCAGTCTAACCCCGAGAGACGTGCTGTCTGTCCATGAACAATTAAGTCCTCTTAACGTTTCTAGTTTCGGTAACACCATGGTTATTGAATAAATTATCCATTCGGCCGACGAGGACGACTATATCAAGGTCCCCCGCTTCAGCTGATGAAGTGGTACTTAGATCTACTAATGTCATCAGCACTTCGCAGGGAAAGGCATTGCAATACCTAGTGCCGCGAATAGAGACATCTCTCTCTTCTTGCTGCCATACCTACACATCAGAAGCAAGGAAATAGCAAACGTAAAACATGTTAAGGGTCGGCGCAAGGGAGGGTCGCCCTCTAATGCAGGCCGTCTCTTCCGGATCCACTTGGCCGAGGTCTCGCTTGCAAAAGACAAGCAGACCTTTAACCCCAAAGGTTTTCATGTCAGTGGGTACTCGATGCAGGCAGGAATCTGGTGAGCGTCGTTCTCTGACCCCTGTGGGTATACTCCTGCTAACTAGCCAAAGAACACCATAACCAGGGGGCGTCCAGTCACCCACAACGTAGGCAATGGACTACAGGTGTCGGTATTGTCATTGCTTCATCCGGTATGTGCAGTATATCTGTTGCCCAGCATTAGTCTGTCATAATGGAAGATATTGTGTAACTAACCAAGCAAATTCGTTTCAGCCCTCTTTCTCTCAGGATTCACTGGTTATTATTTAGGCATTGCAAAAAAGCCGGAACCAGAAGGGACATCTACTACGCCGCTCAAAGAGTTTCCACCGCCATGCCATGATACTTCTCACTCCAACATCCAAGGAGCAGTTGAAGAGTTCGTTGGTATCCTGGGCAAGGACAATGTCGTCAGTGACAAGGAAGCTTTGGCACCCTACTCCACTTCTGAGTGGTCATCTTATTCTCCCAGTAAAACCGAAGTCTCCTCAGTAGTTGTTTGCCCTTCGACTACAGAAGAGGTTTCCCGCGTGATGAAAATCTGTCACCGACGCAGACTTCCAGTGACAGCATATGCAGGGGGAACGAGTCTCGAGGGGCACTTTGCGCCGACCAGAGGAGGCGTCTGCATTGACTTCCAAGGCATGGACCAAATCCTAACAGTGCACAAAGATGATTTGGATGTCGTAGTACAACCTGCGGTGCAGTGGGAAGTATTGAACGAAGAACTCGCTAAGGATGGACTCTTTTTCCCTCCAGACCCTGGCCCTGGCGCAATGATTGGTGGTATGGTCGGTACCGGCTGTTCTGGAACAAACGCGTATCACTATGGGACAATGCGTGACTGGGTACTGTCTCTGACTGTTGTTCTGGCCGATGGGACAATTATCAAGACCAGACAGAGGCCACGGAAATCTAGCGCCGGTTATGATCTAACTAGAATATTCATCGGCAGTGAGGGTACGCTTGGCCTAGTCACAGAGGCGACATTGAAGCTGGCTGTCAAGCCGATTAATGAGGCAGTGGCAGTTGCGTCTTTTCCATCCGTTCATGATGCAGCCAGCTGTGTTTCCGAAGTGGTCAAAAAGGGGATAAATATTGCCGCCGTGGAACTCCTGGATGACGTCCAGATGAAGTGCATCAACATGAGCCAAACAACAAGTCGTTCGTGGGACGAGGCCCCAACGTTGTTCTTCAAGTTCTCTGGAGCGCCCGGTGAAGTGAAGGAGAAAATTGCGATTGTTCAGGGATTAGCCGAGAATGCTAATAAGAAGACTTTCACGTTTGCCCGCAGTTCGGAGGAGGTTGATGAGTTGTGGAGTGCAAGAAAGGTAGCGCTGTGGAGTATTCTGCAGATGAAACAGCAACCCACGGATCATGTCTGGACTACCGATGTAGCTGTGCCAATGAGCAGACTGCCCGATATCATCGAGCAAACTAGAGAGGAAATTTCTGCCAGTGGTTTACTTGGAGGCATAGTTGGCCATGTAGGTGATGGGAACTTTCATGGTAAGCGCTCATACTTTTTATGCCAGGGTATTCGACATATTCACTAACCACGCTTTAAAATAGCAATGCTCCTCTTTAATGATGATCAACGCCAGGTAGCGGAGAGTGTTGTCCACAACATGGTGAAGCGTGCCGTGGAAATGGAAGGGACTGTTACTGGGGAGCATGGAGTGGGAATGGTGAAGAGGGACTATCTGGAGCATGAACTTGGTAAGACAACTGTCGATACCATGCGCAGAGTATGTTATAACCCTCAAGTTGTCCTCACATTATCCCTTGCCTTCTATTTATTTATTTTGTCTACCCAAAGTTGACTAGTATCTTCGCAGTTCAAACAAGCTCTTGACCCTCTTTGCCTGCTCAATTGTGATAAGGTTGTAAGAGTTCAGATCCCAAGGCAGGGAGAAGTCCCCGAGTGGTAAGCGTCAAGGATAGAATAAAAGAACTGGTATCTAGGCTTTTGCTAGGCTTTATAACATATGTATTATGAACATACTTGGTTCCTGTGAGGGCTTGTCACGGGAGACCGCCAGTGAATGCCTGCTGTCTGCCTGATTATATTCGTTGCCTCGTCCCCCTCATTCACCGCGCTTAATGTCACTTACTCCATCCATTGCTTCCCCTCTTCCCCTTCTTTCCCCTCTACCACCTTAACCATTCTTTATTACACCTTCAATCTCCTTTACAGTTCTTCTTCACTCTTCCTTGGTTTTCAGTGGCCATATATCTTAGTACCCCAAATTGTTGTTCCGTGTCACCTGTTGGTCAAAATGGGAACTAGAGGCCTTGTATTTTATCCGTTGCCGCGGTAGATACTTCGTCTACTATAACCAGTTTGATAGCTATCCTGAAGGTCTTGGGGAAGCTATCGTACAACAGATTCCTGAAAACCCTGAAAAGTATCATGGTAGGCTGAACTGGACAGAGGGATACCGCTATACATGCATGTTGTTTGATCCAGTTCTCTCTAGAATGACGCGAATCCATGCGCAAAGTATTTACCGGATTTGTCCAGAAGCTCGAAGAACAGTATATTCCACTTGACAGCCCCTACATCCTCTCTTGCCGAGAGGTACATGAAGAGCTTCCTTGCCGTTGACGACAGGCTTGTGATACTACTGGAGAGTACGTCACCATGGGTCGTCGAACAAGGGAAGTCGAGAATACTGAGTAACAGGCGGTAGCTGCGCATGATGTTTAATCCTTACTGGGTAGGCAAACTAGTAGTGGTAGGTAATAAATTGAATTGATTCCTCTATCGAAATCTCTCCCTGTATGTTGGTTATGTCAATCAGCCATGCTTAATTCCTTAACTTAAAAGTCTTCATTCTGCTGGTAGCGGTATGGACACAGGGACCCTCGGCCGACGTAAGTATACTCGTTCAGTGTCTGATATCATGCCCCGGTACTATAATCATCAATGGCTCACAGCAGTTCTTGTTAGTGCACTGCAGTAACTCCCACCACCCCAACGTAGATTGGGTTTGTGACTGAACTATATTCCTTTCTTTGGCGATAGAATGGAATGATATTCCGGCCTAAAAACTACCAGTCACCACGTTGACCTCATTCTTTCCTCTGTAGATAGAGATGATCTCGTACATGATCTGATAACTCCGGCATTAGGGCATCCAGTGAGCATTACCTTTTCGGGACTGGGCAATGTTAGGGCTAGCAAGGATGTTCTTTCTCGGTTGGTATCGGCGTATGGTGAGTCTGATATCACGTATCGGGCTAGGGTTGGGGTTGGACACAGTAAGCCGCTTGGCCATTCAGCTCCACCTGAATATTGGATCTGAGTGGCTGTGGGGCTGATTCATTGCCCTATAGACTAGATCATAGATGCTAGTAAAGATACATACTCGCTTTATCCAGTCATTATTGAGTAACTGTCAAGATTGACATGACGTCACCGGGGAATCCACATGTTGTGTTTAGCCAACGTCATGTTATTGTTTGATCAGAGCAGAGAGATAACGATGGAATAACGAACATGAGCTTATTGCAGGAAATATTGTAGCACTGTCCAAAATAAGACGACAAAGCATATGTGTAAATCTAACAAGTACAAGAGGTATAATATATTTATAAACCATGACAAAAGTAAAAGGTAATCAATCCAGCAAGTTAACTCCATCCAAAGTTTCAACGAAACATTTTCCAACACGTAGAAAAACGGCAAGATAATAAATAAACTCCACAGACACCAGACCGGGAGGTCATCCATGCATACCCAAAGCTTCTCGAAGCATATGATCCAAGCTAAGAGCAATAGTAAAAGAACGCTCACAAAGAACAGCGAGGGGAACTCAAAGAAAACGGACAAAAAGAAAGAGAGAACGCAAGCTACTGATACTCAGCCAGCTTATCTCTCACCGCTTCCAGAACCTCCCGCATAACCTGCTCCTGCGGCACATGGGCATCAATGGTCAGCGCATCCCATTCGCCCTGGGGCTCCTCGAGATCCTGCAGTTGCGACTGGACCATTGTGCTCTTCATATAATGGGCCTGGCGGGCCGCGACACGCTGCAGAAGGGCATTCTCGTCCAACTTCAGGTAGACGAAGTGGATCTGCACGGATGGCGAGCCGTAAGCAGCCACACGCATGACATCACGGTACTTTTGCTTCAGGGCCGAGCAGGCAACCACCACGCCCGACGGGGGGTGGAAGTTGTTTGCTTCCGAGGGCGAGAGGGCCTTGATGGCTGCATTGCGGAGCGAGATGAGCCAGTCCCAGCGGTCTGCATCTGTGAGTGGGATGCCAC